TTAAACTCACGCACAAGCCTTAAGGAAGAAAATCCTAAATAAGCAAGTTTCTATACATAGAGACAACGAAGATGGGCAGAGAGGAGACGTCAAATTCAAATTTAGTTGAATCGTTAGTGATAAGTCGGGGGGGAGGGGTCTGGGGACTCGAACCTCCCCCCCTTCCCCCTCCACATCAAACCCGTGGGTAAGTTCATTATATGTCTCAAACAAAAATTCTTTCAACGACGGGATTGTATATTACTTTTCCTGAACTAGAAGTATTGAGAATGTAAATTTCTTAAAATATGTGTTAAATTATTAGGGCTCCAGTTTAGAGAAGACTCCGTGTTCTCCGAATCACAGTTGTAAACCACCCAATCAAAAACTCATGGATACGCTTTGTATCTTTTAAGCCCACGGGACGTTTGGGGCGGTTATCAGTTCCCCCTTCCTCCTCGCCAGCCCTCCCTGAGAGTGTTTTCTTAATTTTGCTTTAATCTCGTTTATTATTTCTTCTTTTACTGACGAAAGCTGTATGTCTACATCCTTGATACAAAGTTATTGTATACGCAATGTTTAATAATCTTGAAACACGATCTTGAAAGTTGAAAACTAAATTTAGTACTCGTAAATCGAGATAATTGTAAGATGAAATGAAAACAATCTTGCAGGAAGCGCGTTTCTCTGTCCGAGAAAATGAAAATGATCCTAAAGTCTTTTACCCTTTTCGCATCTAAATAATTGATGTAAGATTTGAGACGAGTCGGGAGAGTTTTGCAAGGGGTCTGGGAGTAATAGTTGATGCAAGACCCTCTCACTGATTCGCATTGCTCAAGGGCTCACACTTTCCCGCGGGTGAAGAAATGCACGTGCTGAGCGGGCTCTTATAATACACTAAAACTCACTAAATACAATAACGAGAGAATACAATAAAAAAACAATAAAACTAAAAACATACAATTGTAACTACCAAAACATCTTATCAGGAGCTGCGCCGGCTGTAGGAACACTTTTGATTTCACGCAGTGACTCCACAATAACAAGTTTTGTTTACTTGATTCTTTTCAATTTCAACAAGTCAAAGATTAATAATTACTATCGTGAAGTTGAAAACCAAATAACTGCGATAAACATCAAACACTGAGAGATGCCGATTGCTTTTACATACGGAGACCCTTCCCTTATTGGAGAAATACAAGAGGATTCAGAGAGTTTTTGTCGACTACATCGTGTGAAAGAAACTTCATGTGTGTCATGCAACTTGGGATCCACAATAAAAAATAGTAAGTTTAAATGTCAACTAAGCGACTCCGATCGATCGCTTTGCTAGCTTCAAGAATTTCACCGAAGACAAAACATTTCTCTACTGAGGAGTGAATGTAAGAAACTAGATAAAATCTTTCTAAAATGAAATAGGTGAGCATTATATTGCTTCTAGAATAAACTTTCTAAAAGTGTATGCTGACACTATATGTAAACTTAGTGTCATCTTGAGTGTTTCAGGGTTCTAAACAACTTCGAATTACAAAACAAAACTCAAACTTCCTCACTTTTAATGACGGGAAAGATATGATATAACAAGTAAAACAAAGACAGTGCAACCATCTGCGTTATTAAAACCAAATATCCTTTTAAAATGTTCTCGTCTCCAATTGAAAGATGACGATTCTTTGGAATGTTATTCTGAAAAGAATTGGAAAGAGAATAGAAAAAAACGGAACGAAACAGTCCATGTAAAGTTTCTAATATTTCGTCGATCTCATAAGTTCAAGCTCGATTTGTCTTTTTCATTTTTGATAGGAAGTTTCAACTTGATTTTATGAGAGATAAACATTGCAGTAGAATTTCTTTAATCTATAAGAAACATTCCCTATAGTTTTTTTTTTTTATCAGCAAGTTTATTATGAGAAGATTGTTTTTCTGTGAGGCCACTAATGTTGATCGTATAATTCATTTGCTATCGTAAATATGGCTTCAATTTTTCTAAAGAAAGATTTATTTTTAACGACGCTGATGGGACAAATGCGCATGATTTTTTAAGGAAACGTTTTAACTGAAATGTTCCTTGAATTCTTCTTCTTTGTTCGCTACCTCACCTCCTTCTTCGAATTCTTCACCGTTTGACGGTTGCTGATAACATCATGTTGAGAGTTGACTTGGAGGACTTTGAGAGAACATCACATACGCTGAGTACAAGGCATTTAAGGTGGCAAACGAGGCTGAAAATTACAGACTCACTCTCGGAGAATATAGTGGTATCGTAAATAGTCAAGAAATTCATTGGTCTTGAAAGTGTTGCGTTCTCTCTCTTTGTTTTGGGCCGAATTAACGATCAACCAAAAAGGTTTTAAGAAAAGTCTCAAGCACGCTTTACTCTCATCTTCTCTCTTGATATTCTTTAAAAGTGAATTTGCCTCTGAAACTGAAGTCATAGGAATAATGGAGTTAGTTTTTAGGAAAATGTCGTTTATATAAACCAGCACATTCATCATCATCACCCCGCCCGCCCCGCCCCGGGCAGAAATTTAGGACAGTCAGCGGTTCGTGACGCGGGCTCTATTCTGTACATTTCGACCCTGCTGAGTCTGCGTAGCTTGGTTGTGAAGCAGTCGGAAAGCTATCAGTGAGCGAAATGCCAAGAATTTTTTTTTGCAAATCTCTGAATGATCTCAGTACCGCGGATTCTTACACAGAGAGAAAGAGAAAAAAATCTAGATTCTACGAGATCGAAAGAGTCGTTTCAAAAAGAGTCGGTAAGGAAAAGGTAAGCGAATCTGCTTTGCTCCAAGTATTTGACTGAAATGAATCTCTCTTTCATAACGAATACTCGTTAAACCTTACTCAATCGTTGGTCTAGATTGAATATTTCATCAAGTGGAAGGGCTACTCGAGCCTACAAAACTCCTGGGAGCCAGAAGAGAATTTAAACGCCTTTGCTTTGAGGTGAGATATCATGTGTGATTAACAGCTTTGTAATTACACAAAAAAAAAAAGGAGGAATCCGTTACATTGGTTTCCTCTGTTGATATTTTGTGCTTGTATGTAATAATTTCCTATTCAATGTAAAAATTGTAATGCTATTTTTTAAGATGAATCCCTTGCGAACTGAATTCCCAGTTTTCTGGGAATTCCTAGGAATTCCTAGGAATTCTCAAAAATTCCCAATTATGCAAATGACCCTTGCAAACTGAATTCCCAGTTTTCTGGGAATTTTTGAGAATTCCTAGGAATTCCTAGGAATTCCCAACTATGCAAATTAACTCTGATTTAAAAAGCTTGGAATTACTGGGAATTTCTGGGAAAGGAAGACTCCAGTTTTGTGAGGACTTGGAATCCCTAGGAATTCCTAGGAATTCTCAGCTTTACAAACTACCTATAATTTAAGAAGTGTGGAACTCTTGGGAATTTCTGGGAATTTAATTTGAGGCAATTTTAATACCCTGAGGTCCACATAAATTCTAAGAAATTCTCAATACCTTGAATGTGAAGGTTTTAAGAAAAAGAGTAATTTCAGAGACCTAAAACTTTGGCTCAATAAAGGGTATGCTATGCAAAACTTACCAAGAGATATAAATACATGTACATGTTTATAACTTAAAGATCATGAAATTTATTACTCAAACTAAGTTTTAGTAAATCTTTACATTAATATGGATTTTCTCATGAACCAGCTGTCAGTTATGTTAAATGGAAATTGCCAACTTCCACAATAATTAACAATAATTACATTGTTATCTTACTTCCCTAACCTACATTACTGGTTGCCTTTGTTAGAAAACCTTGGAACAGTCAAGCTCAGTTGCCTCAAACGCTGTCAGAGACTTTTTGTTGACAATACTTTTAGTAGAAATTTCATGCCTTAGACAAACAAATTCAACACCTAATTAATCTTTCTTTTTTCATGATTGTTGTTGCTGCTTTTTTTTTTTCAGTTTTTTGCTCTCTTTTCATGACTAATTGCTGTAATTTGTTTTGCTGTTTTTATTCTTACAAAACATTTTTGTAGGAAATACTCCAATACTTGTGGATCATCCACACACTTTGCAAACATTTGGCATGCAGACAAGACAGAGGTAGTCAATGTTCCCTTTGAGGAAAAACACCTTTTATATGACGTCTTCAATTTACTTTATTTGAAACTCAGATCTGAAAATATTTGTCAACAAGACTTGTTAGTAGTGAGAAGTACCAACCAAGTTTCCTTTCATAACTTAATTTCTTAAATGTCCCAATCACTGGATCTCCCAAAAAATATTACATCTTTTTATTTTTGGTGCAAATTACAAGTCCTTCTTTATATAAAAATGAAAAGTGCTTGTCACACTCCAATAATAACAGCTCTTAAGTTTACTTGTTGTTCTTCTCTGTCTGTCAGCTATCAACAAAATTGTTTTGTACTTCGGGCAGCGCATAACTATTTGTGGACCAGAGTTCCAACACACCTCTGTAATCGCATATAGCTACTTCTGTCTCTTGTACAAATGTTTCTCCTTTGTAAGACGCACTCTACTCTGTTGTCAATACTGCTTTAAGTTCAGTGAAAACGACTGACTGAGGAATCGAGATGGCGGTGTTGGAACGTGTTGCTGAACGCTTGCTACGGTCAAGCTTTGTAGATTTAGGTACTGGTACACTGGGATCATCTATGTATCTCTTATACTTCCGAATGAGGTATCCTTCTTTTATAAACATGAGGGTGAAAGACGATTTGTAGTCGCATTCAAAACTGTGATTGGCTTGTGTTATTTCTCACCTTTGCCATTAACACAACTCAAGTGAGTTTCGAGTCTTTGTTTCCTCGACAACTTTCGGCCACAAATCGTGCATTTGTAATACGATCGATTCTTGTCGATTATTTCTACATAGAGTGAGCTCACATCTTTATTTATATCACCAAGCTATCCATCTTCTAAAGGCAGAGAACCGGTCGGAGAAGTCAGAATAAAGTTGAGCGCTTCTCTTAACACTGCAATCGGCAAGCCAGCGGATTCACTTTGCTAGCCAATGACAAGTCCTAAAAGATCCACGTGATCATGCCCGTGATCGGAAACAAAGAAGACTCCATTTGGCGCTCATCTTTGAATGTACTTTTCATCGGTTGGTCGCTTTTCTCAACTGTTTTGCTTAATATAACATTTCTAAAGATAGCTTTTATTGAGGTTCAATGGGAAAACGAGAATAGCGTGAGTGTTGTAAAAGAAAAGAAAGTCGTTGGCGCCGTGGAGCTAAAAGAAGGGACAACAGTTGACATATTGACTGGTACAAACAAGGGTCGAGTGGCCATCTGTAAAGCTACGATTTTGAAAGTTTGTGGTGAGTAAAAATTGCGATATTCGTTACGTGATCAAAATCTTATAAAAGAATAGATGTAGCGGGTTGAATTAAGCTTACATAACGCTCGGCGCAACTGAAACTAGACTAATTCTGAGAATCGAATCGGTCACTTGCATGCCGCAGTTTCTTAAGCTTATGCTTTACAATAAAATAAACCTATCAGTATAAGGTTTCAAGATTCCTCTAGTCACGTTTGGGAACATTCAAGATTCATAATAGGAACTGTTATTAAACAAACCTTAGTACATAAAGAAGCCCTCCTTGGTAAAAACAAAATAATGTATTCAGCCCTTTTTTAGTAAAATCCATGAGAGAGATGTACTAACTCCAATATAAAAGTCACTCAATATAACAGAGATTTCTCAATTTGAGAATCCAATGAATGCCCTTTTCCTCATAGCCATCTTAAAAGCCTGGTCTGAGCTTTAAATATACATATTTTAATATATTATTTTTTTTCAAATTCAGATGTCAAGGAATCCAGATACAAAATGGTCAAGGTTCTTGTTGACAACCTCATTCAAGGCCAACTCATTGTGAGCCCAGGAAAATAAATACAAACAGTACAAACAGCAGCTAAGTTTGCAGTTTAGGATAACTTCATTCTAATTTATTGTTACAGTTACAACAAGATTTTAATCAAAAAATCAATTTTATATGTCTGTAATTAGCCCCTTCACTCCCAAGAGTGCTTGGTTTTCAAATATAACTTAAGATATTGTGTTTTATGGAAAAGAATCAACAGATTTTATTCACAATTTGTGTCAAACCAAATTTAATGATTGATTAGAACTATTTTATATGAATAGCTGTAATTGAGGATTAATCCGTATGAAGTTTTCAAGAAAAGAAAAATAAATCGAATTCCATCCTAATATTACCACACATTGATGTTAATAATTAATCAAAAATATTTTACATGTAAGCCTTAATTAAGCTTCTAAATAAATTTCATTGAATACTTGAATTTTAGCTGGGTTTTTTTAATTTAAAGTATCTATTTTATATCATTAGCCTCATATTTTTGCTTAAAATTCCCAGTAATTCTTAAACATTCCTAAAAATTCCCAAAAATTCCCAAAAATTCCCAGAAATTCCCAGAAATTCCTAGGAATTTTTTTAGATTTACAGCTTTTCAGGGAAAGTCATTGGTTCTCTGAGTTGGAATTCCTAGGAATTCCTAGGAATTCCAAGTCCTGTTGGCTATAAACTTGGAATTTCTGGGAATTTCTGGGAATTTCTAGGAATTTCTAGGTTTTTAGAACCAGAGTTGTTATGGTTGGGAATTCCTAGGAATTCCTAGGAATTCCCAGTCCGAATTTACCGTGAAAATTCACACCTTTATTCCTAGGAATTCCTAGGAAAATCCTAGGAATTCCTAGGAATTCCAAAAGCCATTTCGCAAGGGATGTTTTTTCCTTGCCCTTAGGTCATTCAACAACCCAAGGCTCACACAGCAAGAGATTGCTGATGCCAGTGAGGGTCTCCATATTGGTATCTTGGAGCAGTTAAAATCAAAGTCTCAATTACCCACTGTCATTGCTTTTAACCACACTTATTTTAACTTTTTGTTTAAAGATAAGGGACGGAAAAGTAATGACAGTGGATACATCCTCCTTGAAAAACAGGATTTTGTAAGATGCCACTTTCCTAATGGGTGGCACAGGCTAATAGATAGTATAGGGGATGGGGTGCAAATTGACTTTCCTGTGAAGGTCAGATTGTTTTTGTCATGGAGTCCAAAGATTCATAGCTTGACAGGGGAGTCAATTACACCTTGCCCACGATATAGGCCAGAAAAATTGAGTATTTCTTTTTGTAAAGCAGCATGTAGCCTGACATGAGACAAATTAAAGAAACCAAGACTTGATTTAAATCTATTTGGCATTGTGTATTTATTACGAAATAGAAAATCTATATTTTTGTAGTAGTTCATCACATATTCTTATATTGAGTCAAATTTTTCATATTTACAACCTAGAAGTACTTGTGGTGTGCAGGCTGTTTTACAATTTGTTAAGTAAGTATAAAGGACACAAGAGTAGCCCTCCACTTCATTGAATGCTCGCTTTAAGAGAACATTTTTACAATCCAAAGAACAAAAAAATCAATAGTTTTGTAGTATTTGAGATTGCTATCCCATTCATTGTTGTTATTGTTCTATTTTTCAATACTGAGTTCTCTCCCATGTTCAGTGCAGTGGTGGTCTACTGAAACTACCCTAGATATATATGTTACCCTCATGGTAAACTAAGCATTACTCAGGTTCTTCAGGATCAAATGTTGTTTTCCTTTTCTTGCTCCTTGCCTCAAAGAGATCTTTTTCCCAGTATTCTGTATTTGATTTATTATATGGCCTTTTCTCCCTTTCTGATTTACGTAGTGCCCATTGTCTGGCCTCAACTTTTAGGACATCTGAGGCAGCATCCCATTTATTTGATTTATGTAATACAATGTTTCTAGTATAATCATTGTTTTTCTCCACACCCTGCCCTGTGAAAATTTTTACAGACTTGTGGGTCCTGAAGAACTTGGGGATATGGAACACCATAGCATGGATATACGGTGTTATTCGTGCACGTTCATAGCCCTTTCTTTTGTCTCTTAGAGAAATGAAAAGGTTTACCCAGCTTTTAGCCTTTTCAAAAAAATCTGTAATTTGCTTATCTGAATTTTGACCACTTCCAATAAATGTATATAGTTCCCTAAAGTCTTCCCATATTTTCTTGACAGTATTTGAAGTTGAAGTCTGAACAACACTTAAAATTTTGGGTGGGAGCTCTCTCAGGAGTTGCTTTTTGTCATTCCCAAGCAAACTTGTAAAATCATAGGTGCCTGATCCCTTTCCATCAGCATTGGTTTTTTCCCAGATATCAAAACTAACCCCACATGAGCGTACTGCAGCCTGCAGCCTCTCTTGATGAACACCTTTCTTTTCTCCCCTTTTCTTATTTAAATCATCCTTTTTGTCCCACTGTAATACATCCTCCAGTAAATTATTTAATAACACATCAACTACTCTAAGCAAAAGGTGCAATTCGTTTAAAATTACATGATCTAACTCAATGTTTAATAGAGGCTCATGTTCACAGCAAAAATTTTCTCTGCCCTTTTTTTGATAATTCTTTTAATTATTTTAGTGTTCTTTGCAATGGTGGCTTATTGTAAAAATCTTCCTCATGGTTCATATCCCATCTTTTATCTTTGTGAACTTTGCACCAGGCACAAGCATAGAATGAGGTGGCACTCTTGAGACCCAACATGATTAAAATGAATTTATAATCTCCCCCCAAAAAGAATTCAAGTTTTATTTCTTTCCCATTCATTGTGATTTTGGTCATTGAATTTAGATCATTTATGTCTGAAAAAACATTAGCAAATGACTCCTTCAGTGTTTCATAATTTTCTGAGCCCTTCACAATGGTAATTGTGTTATTTCCCCTTGCTGACATTAAATGACTGTTATTTTGCAACAAAGCAAAAGAAAGAATGATAAAGGTTGTATTGCGAGTCATCCTTGCCCCATCCCCTGATATTTTAACTTTAACAATTTCATTTTCAAAATCAAATTCTGGATTTTGGTTGATTAAATCTTGCATCCTTTCCTTGAGAAGTTCCTTGAATGAAACTTCTGCCCCCTCAGCCCTCCCAGGTGTAGATACAATATGGCACATGTCATTTAGTTGTGTTCGCCGTTGCTTGATTATATACGATTTTGGAAGATCATTATACATTGAGAACTCATGATAAAATGAGTCCCCCACACAAAATTTGTCTAAAAGAAATAAAATTTTATCTACTTTTACTTTTTCCTCTTCTGAAAGGGAGTCAAACCCTGTGGCAGTGTTTTCTTGCTGCTCATCACTGGCCATTTTTACATTATGCTTGCTTCTAGTCTGGACTTCTTTCATGGCAACTGACTCAATTTCTAGTCCAAAGGACTTGGCAAACCACAGTGCTGTCTGAGCTCTTGTCATGAAAGTCTTCAAAGTCCTCGACTTTTTCTTTACTTGAGAAATGTCTTTCCCCTTGTAGTCTTGCTGAGCTGTCTGCAGGCGTTCAATAAAATCAATTAATTCTTTATTTGTGGCCTCAGCTTTTTCAACATCATCTTGAAGTGTTCTTATTTCAGCTTGCATTTCATGAAGCATTTTTCTCTTTTCTTCCTCCAAATTTGCATAGTTTGATTTCCACTCTTCAATTTCTTCATGCAGGGAAGAGTTAAACTCCTTTAGTTGTTCATTTTCCCTCTCCAGCTCTGCCACTGACTGAACATGTCTCTCAAACACATGGAACTTTTTTATTTTTGAGTTCAGGGCAAGGCCCTTTCTCCCCCTGATCTGCTTTTATTGAGACTTCACAGAAGAAGCTAATTTTCGCAGAGATTCATTCAACTCTTCTCTCACTTCTTCCGATTTTCTGATAGAAAACAGATTGCTAGGAATAATAAGTTCAAAAAAGTTTATGTAAGAGTTATATTTTTTTTCTCATACGTTTCTGAAATACTTCCAGCGTGATCGGACCTTGCGTCAGTTCACCATCCACGTGTTCTTCTTCCTCTGTCCCTTCATTTTCTGGTTTATCAAGGAATTCATTCCAAGCTTTAAGCATAGGGAAAGGTATGTCAAAGGTAAATGCAACATTTTCCGCCATGGACTGTGAGACATATTTCAGTGAAGGAGGTTGTGGTGCCAATTTCGTATTAAATATATAGTTGGGAGGAGGTGCGTCCGACATTGTAAATGTTTCAAGTGATTACGAAACTGGAGAGGTAAGATGTTTTATTAATTTATTGCAAAATAACAGATTGAGACCGGAAAGAAATGAGAAACTTGCGTCACGTTTATGCCTAAATTGGAAGTCACGCAACCATGTCACGGAATGGATAGCGTTACGGCAAAGCGCGGTTATTTTTTAACATCACCCTTGAACCAATCAGTTTTCTTTATTTATATCATCTGACCTATGTAAACAAGCTAAGATACCAAGCCTTTGAAAGTACAAATGGCGTCGGAAACCATTTGTTCGGGAAGAACCCAACTTCTGCGACATCCTTTCTGCGTGACTAAAGGCGAAAGTTCTGTTCGCGATGAATACTGCAAATCTTCAACTTTACGGGGATCAAAGAGAATGCCACATTCATCCAAAAAAGCGGCACAAAATGAGAGATAAGAGACCCCTGTTCGCAGCGCGATGCTCGCAACCTACCAATATTGTCTTCTTTCGCGGATGTGCCGGGTCTAAGTTTGGCTATTTCATCCAATTTACTGTGTTTGTATGGAAGTGCAATATGACTCTTATATGGGATTTGCGTAATTTGTTTGGGATCAAAGACGAAACGAGTGTGAACCTCGAAATTTCGTCCAAAGCAGCAACTCACTAACACGATAGCACACCGATGCTCGCAAGTACGATAATTATTTTAATTTTGTCAAAATTTTTTAATATTAGAACTTTGCCATACAAATCCTTAGAAGCTTCGGACATTTTTAAAGGGCATTAGGAAAACTCTGCGCATGCTTGGCCGCCATGATGTCCTTTATTTCTGCCCAGCCAGTGGTGTGACAAAGCTATGTCCTTTATAGTTTTGAAGGTGTTAGCGTTCATCAGTTAAGAAACAGTACTATTTTATGAAAAGAGTGAAAATCAGGCAACACAATCTGAATTCAGCATTTGAATCAAAAGTAAATCTGAGGGGGATTACTAAAAGGATACCAAACAGCTCATTAAAGACAAAATTTCCACATCAGGGCCGGGTCGTTAAAAACCCGAAGAAGCAGGCCAAGGATCAGAGTGGATTTTTATTTTGTCTTAACAGCTCTGCAGGTTTTCTTGGGCTTGTTCTATTTTGCGAAACGAAACGAAACGAATATTGTAGTGATTCTTTTATAATAAGGTAAAGATAGCTTTCACGAGGATCATGGTGTAATCGTCATTTCATAAGAAGGATTTTTATTCATTTTGCGAAGTAGTAATTTCAAAAGAGTTACTACTCTGCGGAATCGACTATTTTCACCCTGCGGTGACAACGTGACCTCTTATTCACGTCCCAAAAATACATTTAAACATAACAAGTTTATCGAGTAGCTTACAATATCACGCCAGCACGGGCTCTGTTTTATTTAATGACGATTTAAAGGAGGTTTAAAGGGTTTCTGTTTGGAAATACCATTGCATTTGACGTTAGAAATATTCGATCAAACACAATACAATAATTCTTATTTAAATTTCACTCAACAAGACCGAGATATCGGTCGATTAAGCGAATGGAAACCTCTGATCTTTTTTTGTAAAGGTTCATAGTTAGTCAATCGCTTATTTTTTTTGTAATCAATGGTAATTAACAAATGAATTATTCTGTCATTAAGACCCTTTTATATCTAAGATACTTGCTAGCTACTGTAATGTGAATTTCATTTTGTATTGCTGTATTCTTGCTAGATCAGGTTATATACTAGTTTTACTACTACTCGACTAGTTTTAGTTAACTGCGAACAGTGGAACTTGTAATTAACTAGTCAACTTGCAACTTGATACAGTCAACCTATGAGACTAAATAATTCTAAGACTCAATAAGATGGAGAAACCTCCATAATTAGTAATGGTTCACTTCTTATTATTTTGTGGCTTGTATCACCATCAAACTTTACAGAATTTTTGGCCGTCATATCAATGGTAGCGGTAGTTATTAAAAGACTGACGTATGTAAAACTTGATTGCAATAAATGACGTGAAATAAAGTTCGGACTGTCATTTTCGTGTCATTTACTCTTAATTGTACCATCTACTTACCTCTGATTCAAGTGAATCGAATAATGATGTAATGTCTGAGACATTTCATTGTTCATAACTG